AAGGAAGAAGTACGTGTTTCCCACAGCATTGCCTGGAGCCGCTCTGTCAGCTCTTTCCTCCTCAGCTCCCCACAGCATCTGCAGCACATAGATGGCACAGCCTTCCTGTCACTTCCAGCTACCACAGCATTCAGGCCAGTCTAATCAGCACTGCCTTCCCGCCTCTCACACGCAGCTGCTCTCCTTCCAGCACTTCTGGCCCAAGCAGGGGCCCTGAGAGGTGGGCTCCAGCCCTTCACCCTCCTCACTGCAACCTTTCCCTCCCCCCTGCTTCCTTCTTGCTCATTTACAAGTGGGAAAGGGAGGCTGGAGATCAGACACATAACAAAAGGCAAAGTTTTCTGTTGTTGACTGAGGTCCTTCCAGGGCTGCCCTTTGCTGTCAGTGGTCCTTGGGAATGCTGGGCACCAGAGGCTCTTTGTTCAGCGCTCCTGTGGGGCCCTCGGGGCCCTCTCCGGACACCCCTGCACCGCATGTTCCCGACATGGGTGTTGCGCTCTCACCCACCTCTTGCGTCCCCTTGGCTCGCCCTCCAGTGGTCCAACTCCAGCCTTGCTCCACTGCCTTGCCTTGCCTTGCCTTGCCCTGCAGTTGGTTCTCAGCCCAGGAGGCAATGACTCCATTCAGTTCCCCCAGGAAGCCTCCTCTTGGCCCTGGGAATACATGCAGGTGCAGACTGCTGAGAGCCGCCCCCTCACCTCAACAGCAGACTGCTCCAGCCACCCTGCCATATGTGGACTTCTCCAGCTGAGAGGACAGCGCCAGAGGCTAGCACCCAGCTACCCTCACAGTGACTGCACACACCATCCCAGACTGCAGCGCTTCCACTGCTGTTCTGGTGGCCACTTGAGGCAACGCTGAGAATACCTGCAAGTTGGGGAACATCTAGCCAGGAAATAAGATGCCGGTCTCCACTTTAATACACAACTCCACCCTCGATAAGCAGTTCTCTGCCTGGTTTAAGGTAACCAGGCAAACAAACGAGGAAATCACTCAAAATACATCCTCATGCTATGGAACTGCAGTTCATACAAGCAGTCTGCATGTATCCAGCTGTCCACACCTCAAAAGGCTATACTGGTGCCCATACTCAGAAAGGCATTGTGGGCCCTGCCCTGGGCACAAGGGGTGGGAATGCCACAGTCCTCTCTGCAAGCTCACACCCTCTGCCTCTCTGACCCTCTTAGAGAACCCCTTAGGTTCTCCTCCACTGCCTGGCCAGGGAGATGGTACCCTGAGCAGATGGGCTCTGAAGCAAGTCCTAAATGCACTCAGCCAGGGCCTCTTTGTAGAAATCACCTTCTCCTTCTTAGCCAGTCAAGGCCATGCTGCAGAAAGTGCCACAAGTAGGTTTCCAAGCCTGAAGAGGCCTCCTCAGGAGACAAAGAACTCTGTGAGACTGGTGATGGTCAAACTTGAAATGACAGACATTGTAGGAAGGACTGAGTTAAAGGTGGGATAAAAATGAGAGTATTTATCACTGGCTAAATTAGTTGAATATTTTTATTTTTAGTTCAATTTGTTTTATTCTTTGTGCTAAACAGCATCTTCAAAGTCTGCAGTATTTGTGGTTAATCAGTGAGGGAGAAAACAGCAATAAACAACCAGTGTGCAAGATTTGGTTCTGGAAACCACCATAGAAAAGTTATTTACTACATTCCAGACTTCACTCTGTACATGTGGCCACAAGAGAGCTTTTATAGTCAAAATGTTTTAAAACTGACCCACAAGTCAAGATCCTGTTGTCTTCCATTGATCTACCATACTAGAAAGAAGAGCCTCTCTGCAAAGTGACTTTCAATCTTATCTTGTACTATGTGCTACCCTTTCCTATAGGAGAAGTCAGTTCATGTAGAAATACAGCCTTCTTTAGGGCCATGTATGTAGAAACTATCCGGCATGTGGATAATCTAAACATAACTTAAACATTATTGTAAACATATCTGTCCAAAATTCCTCTCTCTGACAGCAGCATGGCCAAGATTCATACAATTCCTTATAGCAAAACACTACTGACCCTTGATTTAGTTTTATACATTTTAATATTTATAACTGACAATAAAAGCTTTTATAGGATGCCTAATTCCAAGTAAAACACCTTTCCAATAAGCTAGATGAGATATACATGGACTCCTACAATATTCCAGGCTCAGAAGGACAATATTCCAAAGGTGAATTCCTCAAAATTAATCTGAAATGTTACCTACTTAACTAATTTTTTTTTTTTTATCAGTACCGGGGATTGAACTCATGACCACCTGCTTGCAGGGCAGGTGCTAATGCCGCTGAGCTAAATCCCCAGCCCCTTAACTAAATTTTTTAAGAATGAAAACGTTTGATTTAAAATAATCACGTACCAAGTAAAACATAGGTGGTTAGTGGAAATAACAGTGCCATGAATACAGCAATGTATAAAATCTGATTATGAGAAGAGGTAGCAGGCAACGTAAGACAGTACTTGAGTTAGCAATGTAAGACAAGAGACTTTTTTCCCTTTTCCAATTTTTTGTAATGTTATCACCTTATTTTTATCAAAAAAAAGTTATAAATAGCTGTGGAAAGAATGCCATAGTTTAATGTTATAAAATAAAAGTAAATGTATTTTTCTAAATACATTTATAAAACAGGAAAGGGAAAACTTTTACCTTACCATATATAGTCTCTTTAATTTTTTAATCATGTAACTATATTACCTACAATATATGTTATTAAAATATAGGTGGGTATGTACACAAAAACACATATATTATGTGTTTGTTATGCTTTCTCAAATTCCACTGTTCTGTTTTATTCTTTATATTTAATGCCCATGCATCAGATACCTCAAGTTGGACGGAAACAAATAGTTGTAATCCTCTCCACCAGGCTCTAAATCATTGTACAAATCTGAGAAGAATGAAACAGATAGGAAACCAAAACAAAAGGCTAGGATATGGCTATAGCCACCAGGCAAATTTTTTTGTTTACTTTAGAAAATCCTGAAATGAAACACCCCCCACAGACACACACTGTCTCAGGTAAACTGAGGCGGGTAGTGTCATGTGCTGGAGGAATATGCAAGATATTTAACATCTCCTCTGATATGTCTAAATGCTTCTGAGCTGTCAGGCGGCAAGCACAGCCTTGGAGGTATGTGTAGCACCTAAGTGAAGGCAGGGTTCTGTATTTAGCTGAACATCAGCATTCCTGGAATGCCTGATGGAGGTTGGGGGGAAGGGCAAGCTAACTCTCAAGAAGAAACAAACTCACACTCCGGTTGTTACCATTCCAGCTCACCAGTCAGAGAAGTTATTTCAGCTCTCAAGAAGAGGAAGGAGGGACTGATTAGAAAGACCAGGAATGTTACCCTAACCACAAATTGAAAAGGCAGGAAACACCATAAAGAGAGAAGGTTCCTTCAGAAGAACAGGGAAAAAATGTGAAACTATATAAAGTTATACCAAGTGTTTTTAAGAAAACCAGGTGCTATGATAGATACCAGCTATCCATAGTATTTCATTTATTTCCAAAATGAAAGTAGAGTTCTTCACTATTTCTCTGTAAGAGAAAACATCTAGAATATATACAGAATTTTAAAAAACCAAGTCCCTCAAATTCAAAGACCCAATACAAAAATGGGCAGCTGAGATAAATACACAATTCTCAGATGAAAATGTACAAATGGCAGATAAATATGTGAAAAAATGCTCAATATCATTGGTCGTTAAAGAAGTACAAATTAAAACACTGAGATTCCGTCTCACCAAAGAAAGAATGGCTATCATCAAGAAATCAACCAATAAAAAGTGCTGGCAGGGCTTGGGGTAAAAGGAAACCTTCTCCACTGTTGGTGTGAGTGTAGACTGGTACACCATTGTGGAACTCAGTGTGGAGATTCCTCAAAAAACTAGGATTGGAAGTCCCACTCAATTCAGCTATTCTCCTTTTGGGCATTTTCCCAGAAGAATTAAAAACATCATGCCACAGCAATATATGGGCACCTATGTTTATAGCAGCACAATTTGTAAGAGCTAAATCTTGGTTAGAAACAACCCAAATGACCATCAACCAAGGAATGAACAAAAAAAAAGATGTGGTGTTTTCATATAATGGAGTACTACTCAGCTATAAAGAAAGATAAAATAATGGCTTTTATAGGGAAATGGATGCAACTAGAGACCATATTCACAACTGAAATAAAAACTGCATGTGTAAATATTGTATTGTCTCCCTAATGTAAGAAACTGAGAGAGTAAATAAGATCCAAAATGTACAATAAATATTACAAAAGGGAAAGAAACTGCCCAAAAGTAAAGAACAACTAGGATGGGGAGGAAAGAAGGAAGGGAAAGAATGAATATATATATGTTAAGATAATATATATTATATATATATATGCTATAATATATATGCTAAGATAATTATAATGCTAATTTAGTTCATTGAAAATAACATTTTGCAGGGCTGGGGATTTACCTCAGCAGCATAAGCGCCTGCCTTGCAAGCGCACGGTGGTGAGCTTGATCCCTGGTACCAATAAAAAAATAAAAAAGATGAAAATAACATTTTGCACTTATATTTTGTGATCAGTTTTGCATGCCTATATCTTGTAATCTGAGCATCTACTTTGAAGATAACAAGATATAGTATATTAATCATTGTTAACTTCCCCTTATTTTGTTTGAAATTCCGCATGATTATTTCTATTGGGGTTTTTCTTTTAAATAAATGTATAAAGAAAAACATGTACAAAATAGAAATTCAGAAAGCTGAAGGCATATTACTACAATTTGGAATTTATTTTTCTTCCTACCACCCCTGAGCACAGCGCACTTTTGAACATGACACCATATAAGCTGTAAGCTGAGCTACATTACAAAAGTTTTTTTTGAATGTTCCATAAAAATGAGGGCCTCTTAAAAATAGATGAATAAATTATTTTCAAGATCGAGGTTTGAAATAATGCCCTGTCTCAAATAATATTGCAAGTAATCAGTAAGGATTTTGCACCATTTGCTTACTCTGTTGTTTCTCTGTTGGGAACTTTCCTCATGGAGAAAGCCACCATTGCTCTGAAGAGATATTCTTCATTTGTATCCCAGACATACTGAAAGAGAAGAAAAACAGAAAATGTAGGACTATGGGGCAAAAAATGGCACATTAGGTGGTGAACTCATTCATCATTCTCTCTCCCTCCCCGTCCTCCTCCCCCTCCTCCTCTCACTTTCCTGTCTCTCTCCCTTCCTCTTTTCCTCCCTCCCTCTCTGCTTTCTCACACTGAACACTGGAGAACATGATAAATCAAATCTCATAATGTCTTGGGTAGATTTTCTGGGCATTCTATAATTCGTGTGTGCTTCCTATTGTAATGTCAGTAACTATGTGATACGCACTAATTGCACTTCCTTGTGCGTCAGTTAGTTCAGATTCCTTGGTTCCTTGCTTTAATAGTACATGCTTCAGGACCCTAAAATGCCCTCACTCACCTTGCTTTTTACATGTGTCTAAGAACACTCCAACTCACAGCTAGCCCCTTATTTTACGTCAATAAGCAAACAAAACTGGAGAAAGTCAAAAAACAAGGTTGGCTGTTTTAACTGTAAATTCACCATGACCTACCCAAAATTGCCTTAGGTTTCTCCATCAGTTTTTTCTCTCATGGGTCACTTGACTATTTCAAGTTCCCTATAAGCCCCTCCAGTAACAGTGTTTCTCATCACTCGCGCTCACTAGATGCTTTTCCTTTAGAATTTATAGATCCATCTCAAGACATCAATTTCAACTCCCTCATTCTCCTGATACCAAGATATTGAACTTCCTACATAGACACACACCCTACCCAACTTTTCTCCTGGAGCATTATGCTTTTATTTCTCTACTATCAATGACTATTCCTGTTGCCTCTTTTAAGAATGTCTCTACTCTGCCCTTCTCAGGATCTAAACAGCACCAATTTGCCCTCTCTTCTGTGTACTCCAATCTATCTCAGCTTATCCACCAACTTTTAACCATGATCAAGTTCTTTTCACTAACACCTCAGCAAATTGTGGCACAGATCTGTATTCTGGAAGGCTAAGGCAGGAGGATTACAAGTTCAAGTCCAGGGGCTGGGGATTTAGCTCAGCAGCGTAAGCGCCTGCCTTATAAGTGGGCAGTCATGAGTTTGATCCTCGGTACTGATAAAAAGGAAAAAGACCAAAAAAAAAAAAAAAAAAAAAAAAAAAAAAAAAACAAGTTCAAGTCCAGCTTGGGCAAGTTAGTGTAACTCTGTTTAAAATTTTAAACAGACTGTGAGGGCTGGAGATGTAGCTCAACACAAAGGCCCTGGCTTCAAGTCCCAATACCACTAAATAAATCAATAAATTCACTCAATCTTTTTTTCACCCACCTTCTGCTATCTCTCTCCCCTTCACAGCTAAAATTCTTAGTTGTCCATACTTCTGTTTCCACTCACTCCACATATTCACCACTCATTTAACTCCTTTGAATAGCTGCTTTCCAATTTCACCACCCTACAAAAACAGCTCTCTCTAAAGTTGCTACTGACTGCCACACTGCTTAATGCAATGAGTAGTTTTCCTTGGTCTCTAAACATTTGTTGCTTCTGAACGCTTCCTTCATTTTGAAACAAAAGTCCCTAAAACAGCTCACATACTCATGGCCCAGTCCCTTTCTCTCCTGGCTTATCGTGTGTCATGCCCTTCCTCCTGCCCCAGTTCCAGACACCTCACCTTCTTTCCATCTTTCATGCTTACCAAGCTCCTTCCTGTAATAACCCTGGGCATGTCCCTCTGCCTTTCCTTCTTTGGTCCACTGCTTCACTTGCCAAGGCCTTCCTATAACATTCTCAAGACTGTGCATGTATATTTGGTTTGTTGAGTATTTAATCAATAACTGGTTCTCTTACTACCGTAAGTTCCATGGGGCAAGAACAAGCCCACTGTTAGCTGTACTGCATCCCCACCATCCAGCATGGTACCTACTCTGAAGCTGCTGAAATGAAAAATCCTACACACTTGTAAAGAGTGTGGAATACACAGTCAGACTGCCTGGATTCAAACCTTACCTCTATCACTTACTGCATTAAGATGACAAAAGAGTCATTTAAATCCTTTGGACCTCCGTTCTCTCACACTTCCATTGGGAATAGGAAAATATGTACTATCATCCTCAAAAAGTAAGGGCTAAATGGGCTGGTAGAAGTGAAGTACTTAGAAGGTTAGAAAATAAATTTGGTTCTTAATAAATGCTGGCAGTTACAAGAATTATTATTCCTCAAGTAAATAATAAAATGATACACTGATGGGCTGGTCTAAAAATAGAATATCATTAAATTTCTTTAGCACTCTTTTCTGTTTTTTGTTTTGTTTTGTTTTTCGCTCAGTCATCAGTCATCTTAATATCACCTACTGGCAGGCAGGGGGAAGGGGATCTGAAAAACACACTGGGAAACCAAAACTAGAATTAGACAATACTGAATTTTACAGTGTTTATTGTTCTTATAACCACATAGGCCCTATGAGAAGTTTTGGAACTTCTATTTCATAAACATGTATTTCATATCATCACATTGATAATTAGAATTCAGATTTTATGTTACAATTGGAAAATGTTTGTGCTATGAAAGACTTCATGTAAGTAGTATCATCCCTTCTTTTTGGTGACTGGAAAACAGGTTGAAAAAATGCAAATGACCAAACAAGTGAGACACAGACCTAACCCAGTCCTGAATGCCTGATTCTGGGCCCTTTACTCCATGATGCTGGGTCCAGAGATGAAAGCTTCTAAGTTATTTGATGTAACACAAAACGTCACATAATATTTTCAAGCACACACTGCAGAGAAGTACTTTAGGAATATGCATTTCAATAACAATTTCTATTTTATGATGTTTCCTTTACTTTAAGAAAAATCAGACTTGCAGTCTTTAGAAATAATGTATGCAAGATTAAGGTTACCATGCAGAGAGGTCAATTATTAAAGTAAAATGTTATTACAGAGAAAATTTAAAATGAATGTGTAGATGCTTCACTTACTGCTTTATCTCCAAGAGCTGTTCTAATACTGAGTCTCACTTTAAAGGCATTTTCTGCATCTGCCAGAAAGAATAAAGAAAGGACAATATACAATGATAAAATCTGTTGAAACAGAGTCTGATAAATCCTAATAATTAGTGCAACTCAGATCAACAGAACAGAAAACTAAATTACCACCAAAAAACCCCTGAAAGTTTAACAGAAATCTTAGTTTAAATATTTCTTTCAAACTCATAAAGCAGTCACAGGCTCCCCTTTGCAGCCACAGCATGTGTGCAGATTGAGAAAAATAGAAGTCTTTCAGTCAATGACTTTGTCAGTGAGTTATCAATGCAATCTATTTTTAAGTTTCAAGGCTACATACCTGGCTGACAGAGTTCAGCACGGATAACCGTCACTAGGAAAAAGAGCAGCCACAACATTCTTTCAGAGTGGAAAACACAAGGAGAACTGAGGAAAAAAAAACTAACATCCACTTAAAGCTGCCTTAGCCATTCTGAAAGCCGGATTAGAGTATCAGAGAAATCGGTGAGGCACCATCTAAAAGGTTTGATAATTAACATCTATCACTTGGGTTAATACTTTCAAAGAAGCAGACTATTTCCTGTCAGTTATTTACAAAGATATGTTTGGAAAAAAGAAACAGATCCTTGTTTTTACAAAAGTCTGCTTCAAAAGAATGCTTCCTCTGTTGATAAAGTTGGAATCTCCCTCCACCCTTCTGCAGTTGTCAGATTAGGTGCCCCAAGGAAAGAATCTGGGAAGAACTGAGCCCACTATGCAGCTCTTCCTTGGCAAAAATTTTCCACCTATTCAGGCTGGCCCACCTGGTTCAGAGGTGATCTGAATCTGGGAGCAAATGTCACTCATTTCTACCTCTGATGAATAAAAGATGCACCTCCCAGAATGGCCTCACCTGACCGCACCATGCCAGGTAAACCTGCAGGACCCTTTCCATCCAACAAAGGGGATGGTTCAGCTCGGCCCTGTGGTCTGGCAGCTGTCCAAAGTCAAAGTGAGGACGTGGACAACACTGCTCCATGGAACATTCTGTGGTGCTGGGGATTTGCACCGTCTGTGCTACCCAACGTGGGAGCCACGACCCATAGGTGACAGTGGCTTTTGAAATGGGGCTGGTGGCACGGAGGGTGTGAACGCCTTGTTCAGGGTCATTTAACTGAGCTGAAGCCACCACTTGGGGCTGGTGACCCCTTGGTCAGGGCAGCTGTACAGCGTGACTGACAGCCACCTGCCACCACCTGACTTCCCTGGATTATTCCTCTACTCACACCTCGCAGTGATTACAAATCATCACACATCGCAGGACCCGAGGATCTGGTGTTGAAGTCAAGGGCAGAAGTGGTAGGCATGGACTGTGCGTCCCTTTACACACTGGGGCGCCATCCCCACCACAAGGAGTTGCAGTGCGCCACCTCTCTGGGCCTCCTAAGGCAAAACTGAAATCGCAAGAAAACCTCAGAGGTGTTCTGAGGATGAAGATGATGAGTGTAAAAGACTCTCCTCTGGGCTTCCCACTGAAGCCAGGAGAAGCCCCTGGCAGATTTTCCTCTCTGCCATGCCTCCTCTTCATACATGCACTGCCCAAATTCTTTGCAAATCATGGGAGGGAAGTTTAGATGGAGTAATGCCAAGGTTAACCAGGATATTCGGATCTTTAAAGCAACAATGAGGAAAATACTAACACCACCACCTCTGCAGCATCATAACACACACTGTACAAACACCTCCTCCCGTACTCCTAGTAAGGTGCCATTTTATTGGAGGTGACCCACTTCTGTTTGCTAAATCCACCTGAGGAGCCTTTTCTCATCTCCTTCTACTTGGCCACAAGGGTGCTGAGTCAGGAAAAGCTGGACTCAAGGACCCAAGGAGAGACAGCCAAACCTGCCAAACAATTCTAGCAATTTCGCTCTTGGTTGCAATGGAAATTTCCTAAGAGGAAGAGCTCACTTACTACCCCTTGAAGAAATGCCAGTCTGGATGAAGTTATCTTGGGAAGGAAAAGTCAACAGACATAGAGATAGGGATTGTAACAAAGCATGCTATTTACACCAAAGACCAAAGCCATGTTAGAGACACAGAAATCTGATTAAGCTTTTCTTTAGTCTCAAATTTCATAAAAGTGACAAATTTCTTTATATGCTCTTAATCATTGATGCGACTAGAACTGAAGACAGTAAAATACTGAATTTTAGTCAATATAAACCATTAAAGGAGAACAAAACCTTTCTATTTTGAATTTTCATTGTTTGTTCTTTCATTTAAAATGATAGAAAAAAGGAGTGATAGAAGTTCTGTATAGAAAATACAGAGAAACAAAAAGAGAAGTGTAGAAAACACACATATATCACCAGCATGGATTACTAATGACAATACATTTTAATAGGTGGAATAAAACTTCCTTGGCTTTGGGTTTTCTTATATGTTCTTGTATGATGTTGTTGTTCTGCCTCATTATATGATACCATCAGAACATGTAATGGTGCAAATATAATTTGGACTTTTCTTCACTTTCTCTAATGGGAATGCTGCTACATCATGGAATGTGGTAAGCTGCTCTAAAATGATGTGTCATGTGTAAAACAATCCTTTGATTTCTAATTATCAAGGAGTATTTTTATCAATAACTGATTATATTTTATGAATTTCCTTTTTATTATCTATAATTATAATCACAGAGTTTCTACCATTTGGTACATTATATTAGCAAATTTCCCTACATTGATTCAATCCTTAATGTGCCTTTCTTAAATTTATTTTTAGCATGTTGCTGAAATTAACTACTAGCTTTTACTCTAGAAGTTTTTTAAAGTTTGTTTTTTTTTGTCTTTTTGAGACAGGGTGTCACTATGCAATTCAGGCTGGTCTTGAGCTCACCTTGTGGCCCTGGCTGGTCTCGAACTTGCAATGATCCTCGTGCCTCAGCCTCTTGAGTGCTGGTATTATAGGTGGGAGCCACCAACCCCAGCTTCCCTTTAAACTTATTTTTGTAGAACAATATCATATAGACTCTGTTGAGGTGCTAATTCTAGAAGGGGCTTTTTTCCTTAACCCTTATACTATCACTTTCAAAATGATATAGAAAGATTTTTAACATTATATATGTTTAAAATGCATAAGAATAAAGAATCTAGACAATGCAAGTTGTAGAGTTCTTTGAAAATTTCATTTCTTATATTATCATTTATTTCAGGCTTTAACCTTTTTCTGAATCCATTTTGACTCTTTATAATTTCCAAGAAGTTATTTGTTTAACATTCCAGTATTTTCTTTTTTTTTTTTTTTTTTTTTTTTTTTGTCTTTTTCCTTTTCATCGGTACCGGGGATCAAACTCACAACTGCCTGCTTGCAAGGCAGGCGCTTATGCCGCTGAGCTAAATCCCCAGCCCCAACATTCCAGCATTTTCATAGAATTTCTGGAACATATCCCACAAAGTATCTACATTTGTTGTTATGCTCTCTTTATGTTTTCTAGTGTGTATATCGTTTCTCATTTTCCATTAAACTTGCCAGAGGTTTACTTATTTATGTTGTGATTTAGTCAAAGAACAAGGTCATGAATTTAGTTTAAATTCTATTCTTCCTGTTTCTCATTCATCAGTCTTAGATATATATGTTAAGTCCTTACTTTTGTACTCATTATATCTGATTTGTTATTTTTATATCTCTCGAATTGGCTATTAGGTTCATTTATTTTTTTTACTTTTTCTTAGTTAATAATTACAGTATCAGGCCAGGGATATAGCTCAGTGCACAGTGCCTGCCTGGGAAGCATAAGGTCCTGAGTTCAACTCCCAGTACCAATAATAATAATAATAATAATAATAATACCTAAGGTTGTGAATTTTCCTTAGAGTATTGTCTGGTCATATGGCATGGGACCTACAGATATAGAGTGATCTCATTCTTATTTTCTAAATAATTTACAGTTTTAATTTTTCCTATGTTCCAGTAATTACCTAGAAAAGTGTATCCTGCAACAAAAGAAAAAGCAGACAGGCAGCATCCCGTGAGCCTACCAGCATTAGTGCTGAGAATCAACCCCTCCCTGCCCCCCGCCACTGTTAGCAACTGGGGGCCAGAGGTCCGAGCATCTCTTAGGCAGATGACCATATGCAATATAGTAAATATGGGGGTTTCCTTCTGTCTTCTCTTTAAAGGCAAATATTGTTTCCACTGTTTGGCTTTGTTCTGATCAACTGTTTTGCTCTATCAATATTCTGTTTTGATAGGTTTTATAATGTTCTGTTTTTTGTTTGATTTTGCTATACCTGATTGAATGGACAACTATTGTGAAGATAACAAGATATAGCAGAGTACCTATTACTGTTACCCTGGTATCCTGCTGTGAAGTTCTGTATCAATTTCACTGCATTGTCTCAATGGCTTTGTTCTGTCTTATTCTGTTGTATTTTACTACCTGCAAAATAAAAATAAAAATAAAAATAAAAATAAAGCAGACAGGAATGGTATTACCCATAATACAGACTTTTAGAGGCTCCACTAAGTACATAAAAAGATAAAAGCTCAAAGGATACACATGAGACACTGTCAACAACTTGACTTCAAATGTGAAGCTGTCACAGTTACTTGTCACATGAAAAAATACTAAAAACAAATTAATTGTTAAGTAGTTTATTGGAGATCTCAAGAAAATAGATGGAGAACAGAATTATCTTGTCTTCATTTTCTTACATTTAAAAATCTTTCAGAGATTCAGTATTTTGATGTGCAGACTTTGAGTAATAAATTTCCACAGAATTCATATCTGTGTAATTTGCTTTATAAAGTGCAAAGTTTGGCAATTTCACATATAGGGGTTTAATAACTAACTTATTAGTAACTGTGTAATAACAACAAACAAGGCAGTTTCAATCATTCTGAATGTTACTATTAACTTTCAAATGTTCAAGGTTAGAGAGCAGAAATTAAAAGTTTAGATTATTGTTGCCATAAGCAATAAAATTGGGCATTCAATCTCTGAGACAGGAAAAAGAAATTGATTTCTTCATGTCTTTCATACTCCACAACACTACTGAATAGCAGTTTCTAGGCACATAACTATTGATCCTCTGCGATGGGGCAAATAAAATATGAGATCTCATGAAGTAAAAACATATTATTGCTTTCATTCATAAGAGATACTTTTAAAGTTCACCAAAAGTATAAAAGCTTGTGGGGCTACACTGGCAATATTGGGAAACAGTTTTGTTGGGGGTTTTTTTGTTGTTGTTTTTGTTTTTTGGGGGAATGCCTGGGATGAAATTCATGACCACTGGCAAAATCAACAAACAGTTTTGTTGTTTTGGGGGTTTTTTTGGAAAGGCAGTGGGGTTTGAACTCATGACCTCACACTTGCCAGGCAGGCACTTGTGCCACTGAGCTAACCTACAGATCTAGGAAACAGTTTTGATCATCGCTATGGTACAAAAGAGAGCTCTCATCGATAGCAGATAGATGAAGGCCAGATATGCTCTTGTCTTATAAACTTTAGAAATATCATTCAGGCCTACACTTCATAACATTTTTCTTCTTATAACTGGA